GTTGCCGTCCTAAATAATTGTAGGCAGTCCAAAAGACGGCCGGACGGCTCGCTCGCTAATATACGCATGCACTATCTCGCCACTATATTTCCAGTAATAAATTTATCTATGCTGTCCTACCTATGAAACTATATTTTGTCTTAAGACAAAAGAGGGCAGTAGAACATATTAATTAGTTTATCCATAGTGCAATGCAAAGCTAAATAGCACATGGTGATCTCATAGAGAAAATAGTTTTCTCTATGGTGATCTACATCATTCATACACATCAATGTAAATTATTTCATCAAAGTCTATCTACTCTATAATCAACTGCCATAATCCAGTAAACAAAACTTGGGTAAGTCTGAATATATTTTTTTATTATTTATGTAGGCCTATGAAATGATTAACTCTTTAACTTTGTTAGGCCTGCATAATATATAGGGCTACCTCAGTGTTGTACAGTAGGGCAACAGGTACCATGATACATAGCATTTATGGGCCTAGACATGATTTATATTTTTACTCATAGTGTAGGCTCCCCCTCCAGATTTAGTGGACATTTCAATTCCATTTTATTAATGCTTCAATTTATTTTAATTCATGCATTATTTGTTTATTTATGTATTATATATTATTACATTTACTTATATTCATTTTCATACATTTTTTATTTATCAGTTAAATTTAAATATTATAATATTTAACACAAGAAAACTAAAATGTTTAGCTTAATTATTTAGGCTTAAATAGCCAAGGTGGTACATAATTAAAACCCATTGAACCATATCTGGATGAAAAACTAGATCACTGATTAATTTTTCAATCTTAATTAATCCAGCTGAAATTCATATCCTGGCAGAACTTTTTTTTTTCCAGAACACCATGCCTTTGACCAATAAGGAAAAGCAAGAACGTTACATAGAGAAGCTAAAGGCATCTAACAAATATGAAGAATACTTGAAGAAAAAAGCAGAAGCCATGAAGAAGAGTTGTAAAAGGAAAAAGCAAAAAGAGAGTTCTATGCAACAATGCGTTAGAAGACAACTTAGAAATGAAAAGAAGGAAGCTACCAGGAAACGAGTTGCAAAGCATAGACAATTAAAAAAAGAGCAAGCAACAACATCTAGAAACCATGGACCTTTCAAAAGTTCAATGGCATTTGCAAAAGCAACTAGCAGGGCTCGTAGGTTGATGGATGTAGCCCCTCCAAACACGCCTAAGCGGCGATTAGCTGTTTCTCGCAGGCTGTATGAAGCAGAAGCAAAAATAGCTCAACCTTCAGGGTCATCTGAGAGTAAAAAAACAACCCAGTCCTTCCAAACTAAGTGAAGAAACTGTGAGAGCTATTCAAGAATTCTACGAGAGAGATGATGTTAGCCGTCAGGCCCCTGGAAGAAAAGATGTAATCACTATTTGGGATGCAGACGGAAAGAAAAAAATGCAAGCTAGACACGTCACTGCTTCGATCAAAGAGACATATGCCCTCTTTTGTGAAGAATATTCTGAATTTAATGTTGGAAAATCCAAGTTTGCTGAATGTCGTCCAAAACACGTCCAGCTCAGCAGAAAATTGCCACACAACGTTTGCATGTGCAGACATCATGAAAATGCTATCAATGCCTTCAATGCAGTCCATAAGGCTCTTCCAGAATTTCCTGCATACTCACATGACCTGCTGGAAACTTTTCTGAGTAAGGAAGCATCTAGAAATTGCTGGCTAAATAAATGCCCAGATTGCAAGGACACTGCGGGTTTCACAAAAGCCTACAGTTTCGATGGATTTTTGAACACCCCATGCTCGTGGTTGTTATGGGAAGCAGATCAGGATGGCAGAATGATGAAGATACAGGAGGATGGTACACTGGCAGAGCTGGTGGAGCACATCTGCGATATCCTTCCTCAATTTCTTCAACACTGTTATGTAAAAAGAGAGCAGGCAGCTGCTTGCAATAGCCAGAGGGAATCAGTTGCTTCGGAATACCACGACGTCAAGAAAGCCCTCTTACAAGTAGATTTTTCGGAAAACTACACTTGCGTATCACAGGATGAGGTCCAGAGTGCCCATTGGAACCAGCGTCAGGTCAGCTTGTTTACTGCAGCATTGTGGCACTCCGGATCTCTCCATTCTCATGTGGTTGCTTCAGACAACCTGACGCACTCCAAAGATACAATTGGTGCTTATATGGATTTTCTTCTCGATGGTCTGCCAAAAAATGTTGTGTCCGTTTCTGTATGGTCAGATGGACCTGCGTCCCTATTCAAAAATCGCTTCATTGGATCTGCAATTTCAGCACTTCAAAATAAACACAGCATCAATATTGACTGGAACTTCTTCTGTACATCTCATGGAAAAGGCCCTGTGGATGGGATTGGTGGATCAGTGAAGCGCTTTGTTTGGAACCAAGTTCTTACACGTCAGTACCTTGTTACAAATGCTGAAACTTTTGTTGCAGCAGCTAGTACAATGGAGAATGTAACTGTGAGAGAAATCAAGTCAGATGAGATTGAGAAGCGAAACGGAGCACTCAATCTAGAGGCTGCCTTCAATAAAGCAGAAGCCATTCCATTTATTACAAAGATGCACTTGCTGAAGGTGGTAAATGGCGTTGTGGTAGCCCAGGTTTTAACGAAAGACGAAGCACCTGAAAATCCAGTTAATCCAACCAGTGACGAATCTATTTGTATAGGCGACTGGTACATAGTGGAATACGAAGGACAGCAATTTCCAGGCGAGGTTATTGACATTCGAGAGGGGGAGTACCAAGTCTCTGTAATGGAGCGTGCTGGGAAAAACTGGAAATGGCCTTCAACAAAGGATAATATTTTCTACATGAAGAGCAAAATGATTTCTAAACTGGAAGCACCTGAAGTTGTTAATAGTCGTGCCCATTTTAAATTTTCTGTTCATATTTGAACATTTAAAAGCAAAAAAATAAGGAGTTATTTGCTTTACTTTTTGATTATTCAATTTGCCAATGTTTAAATAGCAGGAAAAACTAATGAGCGTTCACAAGTCTGCATTTATAATAAAGTATAGTGAGTGCACTATACAATACTGTTTACAATCTTTACCATTCATGGTAACTTAAGTGTGTTTATTATTATCAGGATGTTGTATGTTGTGTTATTTTATTCTTAAACTTTTAAAGACTAAGTACAGTGCATTGAACTTTACACTAAAAAATAATTAACAGTTACTTGTAAATATGTTTGTATTGAGAGCCTAGTTATTTTTGAGGTGTAAAATTTACAAATTTGGGCTGGTGGAGGGCTAAAGTGGAAATAATACATTCTGTTTAGTGTTAAACACTTTCTAGACTCAAAGTATTGTTTTTTATATTTTTACTGACTTTGTGAACATACATTTTTTAAGTATATAATTAAATGAGACATGACATACCACAGATTTCCTGTGATGGACAAACTGTAACGTTACTAACCGTAACGTTACTAACCATGATTAATTAGTCTCATTAAAAAATTATGAGTCAGAATATAAAAAAATATGTGGTAAAGTATTTGTCATCAATCTAGTAATAAAATAAATATGACAATTTGTTTCTAGTATGTTCCATTTGAGGAAACTTTTTGTCCAAAGACACCAAGTTTTTAACCATGTCCTTTTTTTTGTAACATTACTAACCGAATAAAAGTGTTACCATGTTCAACCCCAATTGCTCGTTTGAATTTTTTTTTATTTTGCTGTATGTTAGATCTAGGGAGGATGTGCCTATGGTATCAAAGCTAGTACTTTAGGTGTATTCATTTTGTTGTAAGGGTTAATCCAGATATCTAATTTTCTAAAAATGTAACGTTACTAACCATGGAAATGCCCATCTGCAGAAACCAAAGTACCAGTAAATAGGTAATGGCTTACTTAGAAATATCAAATATATTATTATCTTCCATTGAAAGGCAATCAAGATAAGTTGGTTTTTACTGAATTACTGAAGTTTTTACCAAAAAACTTAATGATCATCAGCCAATTAAATTATGCAAAAAATACTGGAACTGTATTATTTATATGTCTATGAATCTATGAGATTTTTTTTTCTCATTTAATTTTATATTTCAAGGCTTCAACATACTTAAATACACAAACTAAGCATTTTAAGTATTATATTAAATTTTTCAAGATATGTATTTCATCAGACAGTACATCTTCAAAAACTAATAAAGTTAAAGAATATGGAATATGTTTTTCACAATTAAATATGCAATTATATTTTAAACCTTTAAAATGTGATCCTTAATTCTAGTTTTTTTTATACTTTCAAACATTTAGCTATGACCCGAGGTGAGAAATGTGTTTTATAGTGTTTGTAATATTTTATATTTTAATAAATTTCTTGTAACTAATTGGCCTATTATAGCCCCATGATATGCCATTTTAAGCACTAGTGAAATTCATACCGAGTAAAATCTGACAGCAGATTTAGGGTGGATAAATTACCACAGAGTTGACATCTATTCAGCAAGCGATCAGAAGCAACAAATGGGTGACGACGATTCATGATTTCTCCAAATTCAACAAGTAATATGTTCACACAAAAACTGACATAAAACATGTATCAATACAAATCCAGATTGTAAGCAAACTCCAACACATAATCAATAAAATCAGAAAAGCGGTAACTATAATTAAAACTTGAGTTTCTTGCAACTATCTCTTCTGCTGTTAGATGATATTTCTTGCCGATAAGTTGCAATTTACCAAAGTTAATCCAACTGCGAGTTTGCTGACACAGGCGCTCTACAATGTATTTTGCAACCACATCATGGCATAAATTTGGCAAGTATGATGACATATATATCAAACCATCAAATAATTATCAGCAAACAATACATTTAGAATCATTTAAAAAAAGAGCTTCAATCTCTAAGAAAAACATACAAGACAGAGTCCAAGTACTAGAATCCATATCATGACTGGAATTAAGTTGAATTCACAGCTATACAAAATAGCAACCAGGTCACATCAGAGGTCAAATTAGCTTCAAAGTCAGGTCTGTATGTAAGCACGGAACTATAATAGTTCCATGATGTAAGCTACCGGTAAAATTCTCCTAATAATAAACAGAACAGTAACGGAATAGGAGAGCAATTGCGGCAATTCCATTACTTTAAAGGTGTGAGTCATACGACTGGATCAGTAGTCATATCACTTCCTGTATGGAAATCCCTACTTCTAAAAAATACAATTGTATCTGGCAAGATACTATCAACATTTCAGTAAATGATGCTATTAAATCCATAATAAAATAAACAAATGCCACCTAAAATAGTCAGAGACTACACATTATGGGTTTTAATACTGGATGTATTCTTTGAGGCAGTAATTTTTTCAATCAAGCATTTTAAATTATTTTATAAGGCACTTTTGAAGGATAGAAAATATAATAACCAAATTTAAAAAACAAGTCAACATTCACTATACATATTAAAATCTCTAAAGTGATATGGCAAATATTTAAGTTCAGTATGTGCTAAATTCAACTCAAGCATATTGAGTGGAGTCAAATTCGGATGACACCCATATGCCCGCAAAAAACTGATAAGACTCCAATAGATCACAGTCATTCTAGCCTTACCTCAAGAAATACTGTTGCATTGAAATCAGTGGGACAATCAAAAGCAAACAAAATTAAAACTTTGTCTACAAATAAGAGGTACAAAATCATGTTCAAAATATAGGTTTTTAGTTGTAGTGATCGAGTGGTACATTATAGTATTATACTAAAGGGCATTTAACTTTGCTTGTGCTGTCCCTCCCCTTTCATGCCCAATACCTTCAAAATAAATGCCTCCTGCTTTTCTAAGTGTCTAAGTGGGAACATTCAGTTGAAAATAGTCTAGCCAACCTTTCAAAGTAAATAGATGAGTTGAAATATATTTGTTTTTTTATACTATTGAAGATGATGATAAGTTATTGAATAAAGTTGAAGTATAACTGAGCATGTCTACACTGATCACTACAACTTACTCTGACTCAGCGAAGCACTTCCTAATTCAATTACATTATTGTATCCTTAGTATGTCCATGCAAAGCACTTCAACCTACCCATTAGCATTACACTATCAATCTGTTAAAAGTTACAGTCTTACTAATCTATTTGAAGTACTACCATAATCCCATTAATAATCTGTTGTTGTATGTACTACCCAATCCCTTACAGCATTACTAATTTGTTTGAAGTACTTCATGATCAGTTATGATATTACTAATCTGTTTAAACTACTACCCTGATCTTATTACTAATCCATTTGATGAACTACACGTTACAGTACTGTAAAATCTTGAATAGAAGCCCTTTTCGAAGCTGTTTTTTTCAAAGTAAGCAGGGGAGCTTCTTTTCAAAATAAATGCTGTAAATTTTGGGAATTACTACTATCAAACAATTATAGGGCCACTGTAACATCAGTCTGTGTCATGGAGTGTATTAACCAGCACTAAATCACCGAAACACTGTATAAACCACGGGATAAACCAAGCATGTTTTTAACTTACTTTCTTTATTTGAAATTAATGTACAGTGTATGTACTGTACTGTACTATCTCAAAGAGAAACCCATGCTATCTTGGAAGGAAACCCGTGAGATGGGCTTCTTTTCAAGGCTACTTTTGCAAACTAAAGAGGGGGCTTCAATTTGAGATGGGCTTCTTCTCGAGGTTAAGCCCATTGGGCTTCTATTCAAGGTTTTATTGTATTACTAATTTGTTTAATTTACTAATAAGTACTCAATCATTTATGATATTATTACTAATCTGTTTGGAGTACTATCCTATCCGTATTACTAATCTGTTTGGAGTACTATCCTAATCCATATTACTAATCTGTTTGGAGTACTATCCTAATCCATATTACTAATCTGTTTGGAGTACTATCCTAATCCTGTCTCTTATACACATCTAGATGTGTATAAGAGACAGGTGAGAAATGTGTTTTATAGTACTATCCTATCCATATTACTAATCTGTTTGGAGTACTATCCTATCCATATTACTAATCTGTTTAGAGTACTATCCTATCCATATTACTAATCTGGTTACAGTGCCAGATCCACTGGGGCAAGAGCATTTTGCTTAAGTTTTTTTTTTATGTATTCTTTGTAAATTGTTTTTCTTACACAATCAACGCGATGGGTGCCACTGATATACAAATGAAACAGTTTTAAATATAACAGAATGCACCCTCTACTACGCAGGATATAAATTTAATCTTTAAAACTTCCCAAGAAGGCTCGCGACCCTCTCATTTATTTGGTGACCCAATTTTGGACTGTGATACACAGCTTGAGAAAGTCTGGCACATAGACCCTTAAACAGGCTGGTAATTAATTTAATGATTTTTGTAGTAAACTGTAAACCAGAAAAGACTTATTGGATCCCTTTAAATTTTTTCATTGTAGTTTTAAATGGTACTAGAGTGGCACCTTGCACTCATTAATAATCCCTTCAAATTACTACCCTGTGCTAACTATTAATCCTTTAAATTGTTACTCTGCACTCATTACTAATCATATAAGTGCTACTCTGCACTCATAACCTTTAACCTTACAATCATTATTAATCGCTTTAAATTCATAACTTACATTCATTATTAATACTAAACTACACTCATTATTCACTTGAAAAGTGCTAAACTGCATTCATTATATTTTTTTGCTACCCAACACCCATTATTATTTGATTTAAAATGTTATAAGTCAATATTAGTCCATATACAAACTACTGTACACTTAACTCTATTTATCTACCCTGCACTCATATATGTCTCTCGAGTGTGCTACCCTGCACTCATTATTTCATGCACCTTGTACTCCTTATTTCTTTAATTTCAGTTAATTTTATTAGTCCCACTAAATTGCAGTACTTTTCAACTTAGCAGGGTCACTCATCATATTAAAAATCTAAAAGTTACTTTTCACCAAATAGAGGTGGAAGATATAAAAACTACCAAGAATTATTGTTTCATCAGTAATAGTAATAGAAACTTACTTCATATATTCTTTATTGTGACAGTGTTTTTGTTTTATTTATTTTTAATAATACAAAGAAAAACTACATTTACATACATACCTCAACCTAATTTTGAGATCTTTAAATGTTGGTCTTAATGATGGCTCATATGACCAGCATAACGTCATAATTCTGTATATCGTTGGTGGACAGTCTGGAGGCAGGGGCAATCGCTCTCCTCTTTCTATAAGGCCGATTATATCATTGTTCTTAATACCTTGAAACGGTTTTACGCCAAACATCATGATTTCCCATAAACACACTCCTGTTGTGTAAAATTATAAAAGAAATTTGTTATCTTGCATATATTTAGATGGGGTATATTAGATTTATGTCTTGTCAACGCATCTTAACTGCCTTAAACTGTAAGTTAGACAATTTAGGTATTTCACTGGCTGAAACAGCGACAAACTCAGAAAAGTTGATTATTCTAAAAAAAAAATTAATCAACTCTCTAATTAATTTAAAATAACTCTGTTAAGAGCCCTTAAAATGCCTATTGTTATGCTCTGAAAAATCAATCAAAATAACATTTAAAATCATATAAAAATGTTAAATAAACCATATGTTTAATACAAATTATTGAATTTCCATTTACATAATTTTACAATTAATATAAAACACATACCAAACATCCAGACATCACTAGCTGCTGTTGTCCTTCTAAAATTGATACTTTCTGGGGCCATCCACTTGATAGGAAGCTTCCCAGGAGAGGCTGTTGGTAAAATAGATAAATTAAGCAATTTATGAATTTTTTTTAAATTTATTGAGTATTGAGCATGAATGCAATGATCATTCAGGTCATTTAATAATGGTGTAAAATGTAACAAATGTGTCTACATTTAAACAGTTATTGGTTTACGCGTTTGTTTAAAACATTGTTATGGTAGTTAAGTAAACTATAATCAAATAAATTTATGTACTATACCTTGATATAAATAAAAATGTAGCTACTCTGGTTCTGAAAGATTTTTCACAATAATAAATAACAAATAAATACATTTTAAAAAAGATGTCAACAAACTGTTGGTTGGGACTAACCTTTATAATATGAGCTATCACTATTGAGTAACCTTGAAAGTCCAAAATCACCAAGTTTAACATTATCTGCTGCCACCACCAGCACATTCCTTGTTGCAATATCCCTGCAACAACAATCAAACACAAATGACCATACTAAATATCTGACTTGCAACCAGCCCAACATCTCTGGATTTATTTATTAGAATTAATTGCAAGATCACAACAAATAACTTGAGGCAATGAGGGTACAATACATCATAAGCTCATTCAACCAATTTACATCAGTTGCTTAAATGCTCTACTCATTCATTTTCCATGGCTTTTTGAGCATAGTGGATTTGTGTTTGAATAAGGCTTACTTTCCTATACAGTAGGACTGAATTGCTGAGAATAAGAAATTCATGTCTGTGTGTATTATAAGTATTTACTACAAGTGCATATACCATTTTGGTATAGTTTTGGCTTTATGTTTATAATGTTTTCTTTGTAACTTGTAGTTTTACTTGCACCATCAAAGCAATGGGTGCGACTGATTCACAAATGAACCTTGATAAAAATCTCAAAATCTGAAATTTCAATTTATATCACACAATTTTTTAGATGCAATCGTTCTTAGGTTACAGTTGACTTCAGATGTTTTAGCGGTATATAAATCTGTTAATTATGTCATCATCATTCCTGATGATGACATAATTAATGTCGAAATATTGAATCCCAACACGATGGCGTGCATTTTGATACTTGGAGTATGTATTATACTATCTTATCTGAGATTAAATAAATAGATTTAATAAATCTGCCTCAAAGCACTTAAAAGTGTGGACTAGCTCTTACAGTAACTTTCTTCTCCTCTAAGGTCTCTTCATATCCTGAGCTACCTGGTAAACTGGTACCAGCTACTCTTGTCTGTCCACAACAGGGGCTGTATGGACAGTACACTGGGGTAACCCCCTACTGGACTTGAAAGATATACTGGGCGGCTCTTTTTAAGTGCACACGAGCCAAATTGTGTACACTAGGCCTGCGGTTTATAGTCCTTATTCGAGAATAGGCTGCGATTCAATGTGAAGTCTAAAAAAATGGATATACCCCATTAACATTGGGTACACATGACTAGAATACCTATTAGAACATTATACTATTTATATGAAAAAAAAAAACACAAGAAATGAAATAAATAATTAAATAATAAGACTTACCTATGAACAAATTTCTTACTTTCTAAGTAAGAAAGTGCAGTGCTTATTTGGTATGCATACAGGATTAAGGTCCTCAGTGTTAGATTTGGCTTATTTTCCTGAAGATAAGTACGTAACTAAAAGGTAAAAAAAAACAAAAATAAATGTTTATAATCTTGCAAACATCAGATTTAAAGATGTATTTTCAAATGACAAAAAAAGAATCATAAAAAATAATTTTGAAATTTTTACTCATTCTGCAGTATAGAAATTATTGACTTAGAAATTGTGTACCCTAATTTTTATACTGGATAATGATAAAAATAGCTAGACTTGAACTCGTCACTAGGACGAGTTAGGTGATCCGCTTGTTCGGCAAAAGAAACCAACACAAAAAAACAAAATTTCTACCCCACCCAGTTTGGAACTGGGTCCCCACAAGCGTGCTAGACATATATTTTAGCACTAGACTAAAGTAACACACGTCATGATGCCATGCAGACGGTAATGACACACATATTTGACCCTTGATATGTGTACATGTGTCTGTTAGTGTTGTAAGCCATTCTGCCACCCTCTAGCGAACTCGTCATACACTGGACACACTAGAGTTACAGAAAAGTAATTTTAAAGAAAGAAAGATGTGGGAGTGGGGGTCGAAAAAACATTCATTTTGACCATGATGATGTCAACAAAATGAAAAATGAAGAACAATTTTACGAAAGAGAATTGTCTCAGCTATAACCTACTCAAAGGTGGGAACAGTGGCGTAGAAAAATATTTTTCATTGGGGGGATGATTGGCGTGTTAGCCAGTGTCGTAACAGGCGCGGGGGGTGGGGGCAGGGGGAGAACTGCGCCTCCCCTGAAGGTTTTTACCGGGCTGACCAAGCCGTCGTACCGGGCTGGGTAATAAGAGAAAAGAAAGAGGGGAGAGGGAGGGAAAGAGAAAGAAGAGGAAAAGAAAAGGAAAGAAAAAGAGAAAAATAAAGACAAGAATAAAAAGGAAGATATCATAATGACCAGACTCACAACACCCATGCACCCCTTCTCCACTTCAAAAACTTTGAAAAATCTTCCCCACCCCTTTATAAATGCCCTTTATCCCCTGAAAGTGCCTAAAAACCTCAAATTTCGTGCGCATTTCTTGTTAACATGACCCAATTTCCTCTAAAAATTGCACATTTTAGGGAGTTTTGATCAATTCCAACAAAATTAGAATTAAAAACACCGGGGTCAAGGGGAAAATCTTTCCCCACCTCTTGACAAATGCATCCTCTGAAGGTGCCTAAAATTCTTGAATTCTTTGCGCGTATTTCTTGTTACCGTGAGGCCAATTTCCTCTATAAATTGCACATTTTAGGGAGTTTTCATCAATTCCGACGAAATTAGAATTAAAAAAGTTATTTTGTGTTATTTAAACACATAATAGTCCCAAACTCAAGAAAGACA